TCCCACGGCGACACCGGCGCTGTGCCCACCCCCACAGTGACACCTGCATTGTCCCCAGCCCCACACTCCCCAGCCCCGCTGTTCCCATCCCTACAGCGACATCTGCACTATCCCTTTTAGATCTCCCTGAAACCTCCAGCCCCATTGTACCCACCCCTACAGCTTCCATCCCCCCAGCCCCCAGCCCCATCATCTCTTGTCCCTACAGCCTCCATTCACAGAGCCCCTTGTCCCTATAGCCCCCAGCCCCATCATCTGGTGGTCCCCAGAGCCAGGGGGCTCAGATCTGGGGGTGCCTCAGATCTCTCACAACTGGGCACATGCTCCCTGTGGGAGCACCCTGGGGTCTGCACCCCCACCACAGCTTGGGGGACAAAGGACCAACTCTGTCCTGGCACAGGGAGGTAGCTGCCACCCTCCACTCCCTCCCATCATGGAGAAAGGTGACAGTGGGGACAAAGGCACCATCCTCCTCGGTGGTACCTTCACCCCCAGATCTTGGGGGGTTGAACCTGTGGGGCAGGAAGGTGGGGGGCAGTGCACAACCCGGGGGTGCCCATGGGCTGACACAGGTGGACGCAGGGGCATTGTCATGGCTTAGGTATGGGGGGTTCCCCAACCACCCCCCTCCTGTGGGAATGGCTGAGGGGACTGAGCAGTGGGGGTGTCCTCTGTCCCCCTTCCCAGGAGTACAGACAGGTAGTACCTGGACAGCAATAAATTTATTAATTATTCAAAAAAAATAATAGACACGAACCAGTAAAAAACGAAAAGGGGGGGAGGCGGGACGGAGGGGTGGAGAGCCGAGTTGGCTCAGGGGGGCAAGGGGGCAGGACACACTGAGGGGACGGCGGGGGGGGCACCACCCGGGGGGTGCAGCAGCGCGAAGCCAGGGGGGCCGCGGGCAGCGTCAGGGGGTGGCGTCAGGCATCACTTGGCACCCTGTGCCTCCGACTCCTCCTCGTCGTCCTCATACATCTCGCCCTCCTCCTCAGCTGTGGCATCCTGGTACTGCTGGTACTCAGACACCAGGTCATTCATGTTGCTCTCGGCCTCGGTGAACTCCATCTCGTCCATGCCCTCACCTGTGTACCAGTGTAGGAAGGCTTTGCGGCGGAACATGGCTGTGAACTGCTCTGAGATGCGCTTGAAGAGCTCCTGGATGGCTGTGCTGTTCCCGATGAAGGTGGAGGACATCTTCAGCCCCCGCGGTGGGATGTCACACACAGCCACCTTGACATTGTTGGGGATCCACTCTACAAAGTAGGAGCTGTTCTTGCTCTGGATGGCCAACATCTGCTCGTCCACCTCCTTCATGGACATGCGGCCACGGAAGACAGTGGCCACGGTGAGGTAGCGGCCATGGCGGGGGTCGCAGGCAGCCATCATGTTCTTGGCATCGAACATCTGCTGGGTGAGCTCGGGCACGGTGAGGGCACGGTACTGCTGGCTGCCGCGTGCTGTCAGAGGGGCGAAGCCCGGCATGAAGAAGTGGAGACGCGGGAAGGGCACCATGTTGACAGCCAGCTTGCGGAGGTCAGCATTGAGCTGGCCAGGGAAGCGCAGGGAGGTGGTGACACCGCTCATGGTAGCTGAAACAAGGTGGTTTAGGTCACCGTAGGTGGGGGTGGCCAGTTTGAGGGTGCGGAAGCAGATGTCGTAGAGCGCCTCATTGTCGATGCAGTAGGTCTCATCCGTGTTCTCCACCAGCTGGTGGATGGAGAGCGTGGCATTGTAGGGCTCCACCACTGTGTCCGACACCTTGGGGGACGGCACCACGCTGAAGGTGTTCATGATGCGGTCGGGGTACTCCTCCCGCACCTTGCTGATTAGCAGGGTGCCCATGCCCGAGCCTGTGCCCCCACCCAGCGAGTGGGTCAGCTGGAAGCCCTGCAGGCAGTCGCAGTTCTCGCACTCCTTCCGCACCACATCCAGCACGGAGTCCACCAGCTCGGCCCCCTCCGTGTAGTGCCCCTTTGCCCAGTTGTTCCCGGCACCGCTCTGCCCTGGGAAAAGAGGCTCCGATTGCCATTGGCTCCCCACGCCCTCGCCAGAGGGCTCTGGGGAGGGGATCCGGGCTGGGACCGGGTGCTGCCGCTGGCAGCACCGGGAGATCTGACGCCGGGGTGGGGTGGGAAGTGGGAACCGCAGAGGTTTGGCGGCGTGCCGGAGCTGCCAGGCCCCGCGGCACAGGAGGGGAGTGCCTGCTGAATGCCCCAGGGATGGCAACAGGTCGGGCGGGGCAGGGGACTCAGGGGACTGGAGGGGACACGGGGGGTAGTGTCCTCCTCCCTCCTCAGGGACCTACCAAAAATGAAGTTGTCCGGGCGGAAGAGGTGGCCGAAGGCACCTGAGCGCACGCTGTCCATTGTCCCTGGCTCCAGGTCCACCAGGATGGCACGAGGCACATACTTGTGAGCTGAGAGAGACCCCGTGAAAGGAGGGTATCTGCTGCCGCCCCACCCCAACCCCCAGGGGTGTCTCCCAGCACCCTGCGGGGTCCCATGGGGCTGGGCACACAGATTGTGTCCCCCCACAAATCACAGGGTCTCATGGAGTGGATGCGTGTCTCAAGCCCCACCCAAACCACAGGGTCACATGTCTGCCCCGCCCCCGGTCCCCAGCCCCCTGGGGTGGGAGCACGTGTCAAGTCATATATTCCCCCCCACAACAGGGTCCTACAAGGTGGGTGCAAGTGTTGCCCTCCCTCCAAACCACAGGGTCCCATGGGGCTGTGTGCACATGTCATGCCCCCCCCCACACCACAGGGTCCCACAGGGATGTGTGCATATGTTATGCTCCCCCTCAAATCACAAGGTCCTATGGGGCTGCATGCACATGTGCACCCTGCCTCCCCCAAACCACAGGGTCTGACGAGGTGGGTGTGCACCAGGATCCGACAGGGCTGGGATAAAGGTGTTTTGTGGATTTGTGTGTGTGTCCCCACCCCACAAATCACAGGGTCCGATGGGGTGGGTGTACATCTTGTTCCCCTCCCAAACCACAGGGTTCCATGGAACTGGGTGTACATGACTCCCCCCCCTACAACCCTACAAACCACAGGGTCTCACGGGGTGGGTGCCCTCCTAGACCCCCATGGGATGGGTACCTCTATCTCCTCCCCCTCCCTGCCCCAACAGTCCCAGCTCCTGCTGCACTGGGGGGTCAGACTGGGGTACCCCTCTGCAGCCCAGGGTGGGCGTTCCAGGCTGCCCTTCCAGGGGGGTGCTGGGGGGGGTCGCTTACAAGAGGCCTCATTGTAGTAGACGCTGATGCGCTCGAGCTGCAGGTCCGAGTCCCCCACGTAGTTGCCACTGGGGTCGATGCCATGTTCATCGCTGATCACCTCCCAGAACTGGGAAGGACAGGGGGCTCAGCAGGGTGGGGTACACTGAGGCACCCCCAAAACCCCGGGCAAGGCAGGGAGCAGCGGGATCCCCCCATCCCTGGCCAGGACTGGGCAAAGCAGTGGACACTGGGACGCCACAAACACCCAAATCCCTGAGCAGGGTGTGGTAGGGGCATTAGGATCCCCCAAACCCTGGTCAGGGCTCAGCGGGGCGGGGGACACTGGGATTCCCCAAGCCCTGGTCAGGGCGTGGCAGGGGCATTGAGACACCCAAACCCCGGCCAAGGCAGAGCAGGAGGGGGTGCACCAGCACCTCCCAAACCCCGGGAGGGGCTCAGCAGGGTGAGTGGCACCGGGACCCCCCAACCCCCAGTCAGGGCGGGGCAGAGGCACCGGGATCCCCCAAATCCCGGTTGGGACTCAGCAGGGCGAGTGGCACCGGGACCCCTCAAGCCCCGGGTGGGGCGCGGCTCCGGGAGGGCGCTGTCCGCGGTGCTGACGGACAAAGGCAGGGGGCGGGGGGCGCGGGAGGGGGCGGGGCGCATTGTCCTCCCGGTGCGGCGGGAGCGGGGGGAGGGCAGGGAAGGGGAGGGCGAGCCGGTCTTTGTCCGCCGCCCGGCTCCGCCGCGGCGGGCGGGGCGGGGCGGCGCCGCCGTTACCTTGGCGCCGATCTGGTTGCCGCATTGCCCCGCCTGGATGTGGACGATCTCCCTCATGGTGCGGCCGGGCCGGAGCGGAGCGGGACGGGAGCGGGCAGGGGCCGGGAGCGGAGCGGCACCGGAGCAAAGCGGTACCGGGAGCGCGGGGGGCGGACCCGCCACCGCCACCGCCTTTATAGGCGCCCGCCGCCGCACCGAGCCGGCCGCTGACGTCACCGCCGCCCGCAGCCAATCAGCGGCCGCCGCCGCAGCGCTGCAACAGCCCTGCGGCACCGGCACCGCCCGGGCCGCCCCGCCCGGCCACGCCCACGGCCACGCCCACGGCCACGCCACGCCGCGGCGGAGCGGGGAGCCCCGGCAGCCGCGGGGGGCACGGCCAGGGGGCACCCCCTGCACCCACCGGGAACGGGGACACCCCGGGACCCATGGGGGCATCCTGGGACCGCGCAGCATCGTCGGGAGCATCCTGGGGCGGCGGTGGCGGCAGCGGCGGCGGCGGGGCGGAGGGGACATGCACACGGGACACCCCCCAAACTGCGTCCCATAACGGGGAGATAGGGACAAGGCACGGAGAGGCCAACCCGGGTGGTCGGGTCGCCGGGAGCCCCCGCGGCATCGGGGACAGGGCCGGTGCCGGTGCCGGGGTGGGCGGCGGCGGGCGCGGCCCGAGAACAAAGACGACAGGGATGAGCCCTTTGTCCGGGGGCGGCCAGGGCAGCCCCCCGCGTGGAAACCAGCCTCCCGCCGCCCTGCTGGTTCCTCCCGGTCCCAGCCGGTCCCCACTGGGAACAACCGAGCCGGGAGTAAGCAGGGAGGGGCCGTCCCTCTCGGGGCTGCCCGATGCCAGCCATAGCGTCACTGCAAAGAGCCTTTATTGGGAACCGCGAGCTGCGAGCCCGGACGGGGGCATCCCGCGGCTCATCCCATCCATTCACCAGTCCATCCATCCGTCCGTTTCGGGGAGGGGGTGGCCGTGCCGGTACCGCGTCCCGCTGCCTACCAGGAGCACGTCACCACCTCCCGCAGCGTCCGTCGGAGCTCTTGGCTCCGGAAGGCATAGATGAGGGGATCAATCACCGAGTTACAGATGATGAGGATGAGAAAGAGGTTGAAGTAACTGAAGAAGCAGGTGCAGAAGGGGTTGGTGGGGCAGATGACAATAAGGATGAGGTGGAAGAAGAAGGGCCCCCAGCAGATGAAGAAGACCCCCAGGAGGATGGTGAGGGTGACAGCGCCCTTCAGGCTGCCACCGTGGTGGGCAGTGGGAGGCTTCTGCTGGCTGGAGATGCTGTGGAGGTGGTGGCGGGCCAGGGCAAACATGTGTATGTAGAGCACCAGCATGAGGATCAGCATGAAGAGGAAGAAGCTGATAAGGCAGAGGAGGATGGTGTTGCTGTGGTAGTAGGTGATGAGGACGGTGCTGGAGACGGTGCTGGCCAGCCAGATGCTGGCCATGGTCACCACGGCCCTCTGCAGCGTCATGATGCTGTGGTAGCGCAGGGCATAGAAGATGGTGATGTAGCGGTCGACTGCGATGACCCCCAGGAAGGAGAGGGAGGACACAACAGAGCTGCAGATGAGCATGTCGATGACGTTGTCCATGTGGCGGACAATGCTGGGGCGCATCACCAGCACCCCGTGCTCCAGCAGCAGCATGAAGAGCATCTCTGCCAGGTTGCTGATGCTCACCAGCATGTCAGACACCGCCAGGCAGCAGATGAAGTAGTAGGTGGGTGAGTGCAGGTTTCTGTTCTTCAGGATGGCGGCCACTACCAGCAGGTTCTCCACCAGGCTCACCAGCCCAAGTGCCAGAAACAGCTCATTGGGAATGTCCAGCCCCTGGCACCAACCGCTGCTGGCTCCGACTGTGGTGTTGCTCTGGTTGCCCTCGCTGGCGTTCCAGGGCTCACGCAGCAGACGCAGGGGGGCCAGTGTCGACATGGCCCCTGCCTCAGCCCCGGGGCACCCTGTGGCGCCCACACACCCCTCGAGCCCCTGTTGTGCCCCGCCAGTGCTCCTGCGGCACCCGGCAGCAAGGCCGAGGGGACACAGAGGAACTGGGGATGGGAGCTGTGGGGTGTGCCGGGGGTGTTGCACGCCTGCCGGGACCCCCCGTCGTGGCGGCCACTCTCTGTGCCAGTGCTGCCCCACGTCCTACGCCCGCCAGCCCAGGGTGCTGGGAAGAAAGGGCCCTTTCTCTGTCCCATTTTAAAGCTGACTCTCGTGGCTCCTCCTCCCGAGGAGGGTGGGCATCTGCATGACGGTGGCACCCTGGCAGCGAGTGGGGCCACTGCCAAGCCCGGGGCTGCCAGACCTCCAGGATGGCCCTGGTGGACGTGACTGCTTGGGGTCACCATGTGCCCAGGAGTCATAAATGCCCTGGGAGGGTCCATCCGTCCCTGGGGTCATGCACCGTGGGGGGCTGTGTGCCATAGGGGTCCTCTGTGCCCTGGGGGGACGAGGCACCGCGTGTCTCCATGTGTCCTGGGGTCCTACGTATGCTGGAGGCACGCTGGGGGACTGTGTGACTTGAGGGGTCTCATGTGCCCTGCAGGCCTGTATGTCCTACAGGGGTTCATGTGCCCAGGGGGTCATCCATACACCCTGGGGTGTCCACACACCCTGGGGACCCCCATGGGACCCTGCCCACTGCAGGAACCAAGCTGCCTCACACATTGGGATTGGGAGGGGTCCCAGCCCCAGAGCCCCAGGGAAGGTGTTTCGCCATGGGGCAGGCGTGGGATCCGATATGAATCGTCAAAGACATGATTAAATGGGACACTGTAGAGCCTGGCGCCACAGGGATCCCAGGCAGGCGGGGGGGGACACAGACCCCATCTGACCATCATGTGCCTTGGGTCCGTGTTGATGCCTGGAGCCGCTCGGCTGCCAAAGAGCCATTCACAGCTCCATGAAAGGCTGATCCCACGGTTATCCGCTTCCGTTGGGAAGCCCTTCCCTCCGGCATGGATGAAAATGGTTCAGCTGGATACATTGGGAATGGGGTCCTGTGCTGCCACAGTGCCAAGCTACAGGGATTAGGACACCATGGGATTTGCATGTGCCAGTGGGGAACAGAGCTGTGATGGGCTGGCTTGAGATCTGGGATTTGCACCCAGCCAACCTACCCTGGCTCCATCCCCTAGGGAGACAACACAGCAGAAAAAAGGACTTAATCCACATATCCACCATTGCTCGGCAAAAAAGAGGAAAAAGCTTTGTGGGAACAAAGATGAGTTAAGGTTTGAGTGTGGCTGACCTCAAACCTGGCTCTACAAGGTGAAGGTGGGGAAATAAAGGATGGAGAAACAAAGAGGGGGGATGATTTCTGCTACAGACACGATTAAAAGGCTGGAAAAGCTGATCCATGCACAATTCTAGTGGCATAGGGCACTCCAAGACCTTTGGAAGGGTCAGTGTGGTGAGAGGGTGCAGAGTGTTTTGTGGAGGGAAGGAAGCTGCAGGAAGCACAAAGGAGCTGGAGGAGAGGGCAAAGAAACCCCTCTGGGAATTAAGGACAATAGCCAGAAGAATGGGGAGGGGAAGGGGATGGGAACTGTGTGTGGAAGAGGCCAGAAGGGGACTAAAGCTGCCATGGGGACAAGGGACAGCTGCTGTCGATTAGCTCGGACATGCTCAGATAGTCCTTGTCCCCTGTTGAGAGAGAGGAGAGGGGCCCAGGGAGGCAGCTCCCCTCTCTGGACAGGGCTCATCCCTGTGGATTCAATCCCCCTCCCTGGACAGGGCCATCCCAGGGATTCAGCCGCCCTCCCCGGAAAAAGCCCATTCCCACAGCAAGTGCATTTGTGTGACTTTATTGGAGTGCAACACAAATCGGGAAATGATGTCAGAAGGTTTGAGGAGAGACACACCCCGGGCTCAATCCCAGTCCCCATCGCCTTCGGGATTGTCATCGCGGGGGGGCTCCTGGAACTGGATGTTGGCCAGCATGTCCCGCATGGCCGCCATCAGCCTGTTCACCCCCTGGTTAAGGTCCTGCCCTGCCCCGGCCTCGTCGTCCCCGTCGTGCCGGATGTCCCCCTGCAAGACAGCAGTGCTGTGGTGGCAGGGACACAGACAACGCCGGTGCCAAACCAGCACCAGGCTGCTGCCAGCAGCTGCTCCTGGAGTGGGAACAATGTGCCCACAGCCCAGCATGCACCCACCTGCAAGTTAAAATTTGGCAACAGCGAGCGGAAAAAGAGGGATAAAGTGCTTTCATTGGAGGGATGGCTTGTCCTGCAAGACACAAGTGGCACCCTGATGAAGGGACAGCTCAGTTCGTGACTGCTCAAGGGGATATGGCAGGACTGGGAGAACCACGGCCCTGACGGAGCCAGACCCGAGGGAGGGAATGGGGGGATTTCCAGGGGTTTCTGATCCAGCCAGCTGCAACTCCGAGCAAACCAGTTGCTAAGAGCACTACCAAAGCCAGGTTGGATGGAGCTTGGGGAAGGTGTACCTGCCTATGGTGAGGAACATGATGAGCTTTAAGGTCCCTTCCAACCCAAACCATTCCAGGATTCTGTGATTCTACCAGCTCTGCTGAGTGAGTCAGTGTGTAACCCAGGACTGGGTGTACTTAAACCTCTGTTTACCCCAAACTCCCCCAGCTCAGCCACAGCCTGTGTTTTCCCTGGCTTTTGCCCTATTGCTGGGAATACCTCCCAGTGACCACCATGGGAAGCGGCCGGACCAGTCTGTCCTGTAGCTCTGCCTGTCGGGAGCACCACGGCCCTTCCTCTGCCATGGAGGAGGATGTCAGTACTGAGTGTCCGCGTGCAGCCTGGCCCAGGGCTGAGGGTGTGCCGGGAACATGGGAACATGCCGGCTGTGCCGGCACAGGCACCAGGGTGGAGGTGGTACCTTTCCGGTCGGGTGTAAGAAACGATGGAGTCCAGAGGAGGGAGGGGGTCAAAACCCATCACTGGCTGCGAGGTCACCTCCTGCAAGGGAAGGAGAAGGAAGGGATGAAGGAGAAGGGATGAAGGCTGCACATCCACCTGCAGCAAACACAGAGGCATGGAGAAGCTGTGCCTGTAGGGAGGACACCTTGAGGTCTGGTGGGTGCCTGGGGTTAAGATGTGCCCAGCAAGGACACAAGCACCACCACACCATGCACAGCCACAGCCCCTGTGTCCCATCAGGGCCCTCACCAGAGGCAGGGCTGCCGTGGCCTCCTTCATCTCCGAGAGGATGACGTGCCGGTAGATGTTCCTGGGAGCGCTCTGGTACCGGATCTTCCTCCTGAGGCGGGAAGGGGACAGAGCAGGGCGCCCTTAGCAGGCAAATTCCCATTTCTGCTCCTTCAAGTACAGAGTCAGCAGCTTCCCTGACTCCAGGGGACAGGCCATATTGGATGGAGCTGGCTTAGGGTGGGCCAAAGGCAGCTGCTGAGCTCCAGAGAAAGAGCAGAGAGCAGCGCAGAGTGCTCAGCAGAGCGAGCTGACCTTGGTTTAGGACAACATCTGATGGCTCTCTCCTGTTTCTCAGCGCAGGGACTTGGCAAGTGTTCCTAAGCTCTCACCTGCCCTCTGTGGTGATCCCTGCCCCTCCAGGCCACCCTCCACCCTCTCCAGGACATCTCCAGGGCACAGGTGACAGCCAAGACTAGGAAAAGCAGTGCAGGACTTGAAGTGCAGGTCCAGCTCTTCATTCCCATTTGTGAAAAGCATGGAAGAGCCTCTGCCCTCCTGGCCCCACAGTGTAACTCTCAGCATCAGACCAGCAGCTGGGGGGCTCTGAGAGTGACCCCGGGGTCACTGCTGCCCAGGTCAGTCCCTGGTCCCACTCTGTCCCAGGCACTGAATCCGCTGCCCCTCCACACTCACTTGTGCTCGGCCTCCTGTACCAGCGGGTCCCGGGCCTCCACCATCCGCAGCACCTCGTGGGTCTGGGGCTCCAGCCAGGCCATGACAGCTGGGTCCTTCCACAGGGCGTGTGTCCTGCCCACGTACAGGGACGTCAGCTGGTTCAGGGCGGGCGACTGGCTATGGAAGATGGTTGTTACTCACAGCACCCTCTTCCTCCTCCTCCTCATGGGATGGTGAGGGCTTAGCCCTGCGTTGGGCTTTGGTGTGGGAACACAAGGCAAGGATTCACAGGCTCCTGCCTGGCTGTGGCCAGCCACCTTCACCAGATCTCCTGCCTCCATCTATTTTTAGGCTAAGCAGAGCCATGAAATGAGGGAACACTGCCCTGACGTGAGGGGAGAGCCTTCGCGTGCTGAGGAAGACCATGTGTCCAGAGAGCCCAGACTGGGTGGAGACAGCCTGCCCTGGGAGGATGCACGCGTTGCTCTCCCTTGCTATGCACACCAACAGGCTTCAGGCTGAACTTCTGACCTGTCCACATCGAGGTGAGGTGGGTCTGTCAGCCTGACCCAGAGGCCATTATGGAAATCCATTATCAAATGGATTATCAAATGAGGCATTATCAAATGAGCCTACTCAGGGAACCCAAACAAGCTCCTCCATTAGCTGTCTGAACATGCAAAATCCCCGCCGCCAGCAAAATCGATCCCTTCCCTTTTTCTGAGAACATCTCCAGGCCTTACCTGATCTGGGCATTCAGCCCAAAGAAGGGATGGGAGGCGACCCTGGCATCAGGCTGCACACTGCAGTGATCCAACAGCGGCATCAGAACTGCATGACAAAGATAGAGAACTCATTTGGATCTGTTGGTGAGGAGCAGCATGGAGTGGGGTCACCCCTGCAGAGAGACACCCCAATCCCAGAGGCCAGCACCCCAATCCCAGGGCACCAATGAGGACCCACACAAGGAAGGGGTGAGATTGCTGCTGGTCTCTATGCTGGCACAGGGGTTATTTCAGTCATCCAAACTAGGAGTCAAGATGATTCTAGCCCCTACAAACTGAATCCCTGTTGGAGAGCTGGTTCTTCCTGCTGCACACACCCTCCCCTGGGCCTGAGGGCTGCACGCTCCTTTCATGGACAGCAGCACCCACGGGATGAAAGGGAGAGTGATGGGCACCCATGGGGACATCACATCCAAAATAGAGCTGTGCCGCAGAGGGAAAAC